ATTTAGTCAAGTATATTTCTTGATCTTTTTTCTTAGTAAACTTTGATTTTGTATCTTCTTATTTAGTTCTATTTTGTTTTATTTTAATTTACATAGTTTTGTCTTTTATGTCCTATTTTTTTTTAATTTTGTTTATTTTTTTTCTTGTCTATTTTGTCCAATTTTGTAATGAGATTTTATCTTGTTGTAGATTAAAAGAGTCTTAGACTTTCAAGAAAAATTGGTCTTATTTCATATGCCTTGAGAGAGAAGTTTAGAGTAAGAAAGCTTAGATATGATATTATCCTCAGTATGCCATGGCTAAAGGTAGAGAATAAATAAATCAATTAGCTAGCAAGGATTGTCTCTTTCAAAGATAGAGGATGTATGGTGATTTTTTGTGCCCCTATATTAAGTTGGATAGCAAAATGATCTATGGCTAAGAACTTACTCATAAGAATGATCTTTATAAAGAAACAAATATGACATAAGCAATTGGTATATGTGGTGGTTTTAAAACTTGTCTCAGTGGTAGAAAAGACAGCCAAAGAAATAAAAGGATAGAACAATTCATATGTGAATATCAGGATGTCTTTCCAACCAACTTACGTAACAACATACCACCTGATTGAGATATCCCTTCCAAATAGAACTAGTACTTAGGGTCAAATTGACCAGTTAGCCAATTTATTGACTATCACCAAATGAACTTGAAGAATTGCAAAAGTCATTAGATGAGTTGTTAGAAAAAAACTTCATTCAAGAAAACATCTTACCATAAAGAGCACATATATTCTTTGCATCTAAAAAAGATGGTGGTCTTTGACTTTGCATCGATTATCAAGGCCTCAATAAGCAGACTGTCAAGAATGCATACCCACTTCTATGTGTATATAATCTTCTTGATCAACTTCAAGGTACAATCATATTTAGAAAATTAGACCTTAAGAGTAGTTATTAGCAAACTCTTGTTGCTAAGAAAGATATAAAAAAGATGGTATTTTATATGTGCTATGGATATTTTTAGTAGCTTGTATTACCTTTTGGTCTCACCAATATTCTAACCTCTTTCATGAATCACATGAATAGATTATTTTGGAATCTTTTAGAGAAGTATATAGTTGTCTTCATTGATGATATCGTCCTTACTAGATACTGTTGCCATTTTATTTGACAATTTGTGCATATTATTGCCTCATTAACAAACCTACTAGAAAAAGGTGCATCATTTGAATGGAAACTAGAGCAGTAAAGCGCCTTTGATAGGTTGAAGGAGGCATTGATTATTGCTTTAATATTACAAATATATGATCTCAACCTTACCTATATACTTGACATTAACGCTTCCGACTTTACTATTGGAGAAGTCCTTCAATAAGACTTTGGCCTTCAACCCCTAATATATGAATCATGCAAGCTTAAAAGGACAGAATGCAATTACTTTGCATATAATTGAGAGCAATTGCGATTGTATATGCTACAAAGATATAGTGACACTATTTATTGGAAAATCTAGTAATTGTTTGGACCAACCATCGACTCTTGCTACACGATTTATACATAAAAAATATAAAAATATAACATCATCACTAAAAAGAATAATTACAGATTTTTAACATTTAGCTTAAATATAAGCAAGGGCAATAATATATTGTGCAAAATAACTTATCACGGAGAGCAAACTTGATGGCTAAATTAAGGGATAAAGAAAAAATAGCTACTATTAGTAGTGTCATGTCAAACCTAACCAAAGCTGTAAAATAGATAAAATCTATGCATTAAGATAATTATTTTAAGATGATTAGTGATTGGTTGAAAGTTACTAATGTATAGTATCAAGATTATAATCTTAGTGATGGCTTATTCTATTTTAAGAAATAAATTTATATACTTCACAATGCTATACTTTGAACTTGCATACTTCAAGAGGGACATAACATCCCAATATTTGGACACATAAGGCAAGAGAAGACTCTAGAAGAAATCTCATGGATGTAGTTTTGAGTAAGTTTGGATTATAATATTTGAGCTTTTATACACTCCTACAAGTCATCCCAACATAACAATGCATGTAATGCAGCATTTTCTAGACTATTGTAGCCAATTTTACTATCTACGATACATTGGAAGTAGGTGACTATGGATCTCATTATGTATTTGCTTCAAATGCATCACAATCACATTGTCTTTGTAGACTAACCCTCAAAACAACTTCACTTGATTATAATGTGCTTTGATATTGATGCCTCACTACTTATACAAGTCTTCTTCAACACTGTCATTTGTTACCATAAATTATTTCATGTAATCAATTCAAATGTGGATTCGTGCTTCAGAAGGAGTTTTTAGCAAACCTTATTTAAGCTATTAGATACATGACTTATTATGTCTATAACTTTTCATCTTCAAACAAATAGACAAATAGAGTATACAAATCAAATATTAGAGGATATGCTATAGACATTTGTGATAGTTTACTACAATAATTAGGATGAATATTTGATGCCCTTAAAATTTGCTTAAAATGGTAGTATTTAAGCAAGTACCAGTCATTCACCATTCTTTCTTAACATTAATTTGCATCTGATTATACTAGTAATCTTCTATTGTTCTATCAATATCAACAATTTGACAATAGAAGAGTTTATACAGTGGCTTACAATAGCCTTATACGAGGCATGACATTGCCTTCTTACTACATAAAATCAACAGAAGCAATATGTGGATAACCATCAATAATACAAGACTTTCCAAGAGGATGACCAGATGTTACTTTCCAATGTCAATCTTTCACTTGCTATATCAACCCAAATTTGTAAGCTAGCATCTCAATGGCATGGATCTTTTTGCATTTTTGCAGTAATTTCAGATGTTGCATATCACCTCAAGCTTCCACCACATATTTAAGTCCATCTATTCTTCTATGTTTTGCAATTCAAGAAGTTTCATATTGAACCAAGACGCTTTTCGAACCAACACCAACCACCACTACTACCATTGGTTGACATTGATGACTAACAGGAGTATGAAGTCAATAATATTTTAGAACATTTCTACCTTTGCTATGGCAATAGTCATCTGCAACTTCAATACAAAGTTCTCTGGAAAGTTTATCCCATCCATGATGCAATATGAGAACTTGCATAAAATCTCACTCATTGTCAAGAAACCATTTGAAAATACCATTGGGAGTGAAACAAGGACGTTTTGCATTAGTAGAGGGATATTAGTTGTAATAGGGCATGAATAGGATGGTTGTATTATTTGTATATAAAGATATGTAGTTAGAATCATTTTTGAAAAGCTTTTAGAATTGAAGGTAGAATAATAGTTCATGTGGGATCCACCATAGAACCTTCTAGAAAGGCTCAAGGCAATTATCATGATAGGCCCTATCTCTACAATCTTTTAAAACGGTGGTTATTTTGGTCGAGCCTACTATTAGGGATATTTTAGAAAGTTCCAAGTTAATTGAACAAAGTATGAATAGAACTAACTAAGGCCATTTGGGGCATTTGGTCAAATATGGCTTCAAACTCTATTCCTTAGTAAAGTTTGGTTTTTTTGTTGTATTCTATTTGATTTTATTTTATTCTATTTGATTCTATTCTCTTTTACTTAGTCATGTCTTTCATGTTCTATTCCATTTAGTTACTTTCAATTTTGCTCTGGTGTGCTTGGTCTTATATTGTATTGAGTTCTTTGTTGTTATGGATTTAGTAAGTTTTTAGAAGTTAGAGTATCTGGTCCTATTTCAAAATAGATGCCCTACAAAAATTAAAAAAAATTAAAAAAATTAAAAATAACACTATGGTTATAAAGAGCATTTTAAATAATAAAATGTTGTTGAATATTATTATGTAAATGACGAGCATGCAACACAAATAGACATCTTGTCACATGACTTGCACTATTTTGTTTAAAAGTATAATGATTTTGATCATAGTAAACATCTCTTCTGTCATACTTATAATCAATGTAATTTTTATTTAAATATTGTTTGCATATAACATAGCCTTGATTGTATATAAATTCATCAATACTATGTTTTATTTCTTCTATACTCTCAAAATATCCCTTTGATAGTGCACACATATATCTCTTACTTTCCATTGCAAAATGAAAAAAAAATGTAGAATATACAATTTCCTCTCCTTTGTCTACTATACACAATTTGAAATAGAATATATATTTGAATAAGATGAAGTAAATTTAGTACATACATAAGTATAAGACAAGTAGGAGAAGAGGATTAGAAAGATATTATTACTAGCAATTGAGAACTATTGAGAACCATTGGAAACTATATCCAAAATGATGATTTTATTTATCTAAACTTATGGTTTTAATGATGAAGAAGATTTGTACAATCCATGTATAAAAATTGTGATGATGGGTAGGTCGCTTTAATAAAAATTTGGGTTGCTTTATCATTCCCATTAATATATATATATATGTATATATATATATATATATATATATTTCCATTGATTCTCATTGAGTATAAAAGTGTGGTAGGGACTGCAATCAATTGACAAGGGTTGAGGAAGGGAAAGGAGCATGGATGGATGAGAAACTATTGAAGATTCCAATTCAGGATGAATGAGAAAATATGGATGTGGAAGAGAAATGCCGGATGAATGATAGAAAATTGGATGAAGGCGAATGAGTGGCTGGGAAGCACAAGGGACGAAAGCTGACGAGGCACGGGCACAGGGGGGAGGGTGTGGGAAGGCCCTACGACCAATGAAGGGACGAGAAACGACGATATCCCAAGCACACGCCTGGTTGAATGCCCCCCCCCCCCCCACCCCGTCTGACTGCATTCTCCACCCCTCGTTCTGGGGGCCCTACCCTGACGTTCTCTGTCAGCAGCCGCCGCGCGGCAGTGGCGTGTAGCGGCTGCGGCTAAACGGGAGAGCGTGGACATGTGGTCAGGGGAGGCGGAGGACCGCCGGTCAGCCCGTCCGTGATTGGCTGGGTGTGCGGGCCGGGCCATTAACGAGCAGCAGTCAATGCCGTGTCGATGACAAATTTCCTGTGTGTGAGTGAGAGTGTGTGTGTGTGCGCTTGTTTCTATTTTTATTTTTTAATTTGGTTGATTACTTTGTGTGGAGCGTGTTCAGGTCGATTTGCTTCAAGTTGTTGCGCTGAAAGAGCTTGTCTTGCCGCTCGGAACTGATGCTGATATTTTAGCATCGGGGTTTCGCTTCAAACGAAGTCGATAGATAGGTGAGTTTGACAGAGAGCTCTGAGTTTTGCGGGTGGCGAGGATGGCCGGCTGTTTTTAGGCTATGATGTCGAGAGAGCTCAGCTCTGTCTTGGTTCGAATGTGTTCGGAATAGGGCAGCTAATCGGGCACCTTTATTTTTCCCCTTTTTCTAATTGCACGTCGTTTGTAGTGTAGCTCATCCTCTGCTGGCCATCCCTTGAAGGGTTCATGCCATTTCCTTGTCAGCTGCATGATACCAGCCAAAAAAGAATTTGTTGAATGTCGGGGGGGTTGTTTGACATGCTTCCGGTTGTATGTCGTTTCTCGTTGCGTGGGATTAGAGGCGTAGCGCTAGTTTAGAGCGAGGTAGTGGCAGTTGCTCCCAGCGCTTGATGCATGTTACGGCTCATGGAACCTCGGTCTAGCTTTTAGAGTTCGGGAGATGCCGTTGTCCTTCCGTCTGCCTCGAGGACAACATGTTGACATCAATACTAATCCTCTCTTAGTCACGGCTCCAGGCGCAGTCGTTAGTTTCATGCCATCATGGGCGTGTTTCTCTAGTATCACGGGTTGGTGTGTTGGCGGAGATGCATCAATTTTACACTCTGTTCTCATGCCTGTTTTGACCGAGCTGTCTTGGTGACTATTGCTCGAATTCCATGCGTACTCGGCCATTTTGACTAAGGGGAAGTTCTGTGTCGAGAGCTTAGTTTAGTGAAAACCCTCATTGGAGGAACTGGTTCAAACCAGTAACGATGACCCTCAGATAGCAATTGTTGTGAGGTGGCTCTATCGTTTTTGTAACACACCAGCGGAAGGGAGACTGATCAGATTCAAGAGGACTGTATTCTATCGCCCTTCAGCAGGGGACGAATAACACAGGAGGGCTTTCGAAGATGAGGACCTTGTGTGATGTGTGTGAGGCGGCTCCAGCCCGGCTATTTTGTGCAGCGGACGAAGCTGCCCTTTGCTTGAAATGCGATGAGAAGGTATCTACACCATGTTAGTATCCTTCAGTAGGATAGGTTCTTAGTCAGCTCTTTATCTGACATTTCACGAACGTGAATGTCATCTTGGCCACAAAGGAAACTTAACGCCTTATTGTGTAATAAAATTCAAATGTATCTCCTCGCTTGCCATTGGTTTCGGGTCGTAGTGAATGACTAGATTTCTTGCAGCTTGCTGCAGAGAACCGGGTACTAAAATGTTGAAATATAGGTTTCTGTCTCGCGTTGCAAAGTATATAGCATGTCTCGTAATGCTGAGGACACCCTCCCTGGAGAAGAACTATTTCTTGGTAGGGTGTAGCCATTGAATCCATGTGGAAGCTCCGTTGTCTGATCATTCATCGCGCTCTGAGCAATTTATTGCATCCCGATTCATTTCATGCCAATGTCATGTTCAGTACTGGCATCCAAACTCGCTTGTTTCGTATCTTAAACATCGGATAGGAAATTTGGTCCCTTCAATTGCCATATTTCTATCTGCATCAAATTATAACGTTGTTTAATTCTGATTTTTCCTGGATTCTTTGTTCGGCCGAGTACTTACACATGCACTTATATTGATACAAAGGTTCACAGCTGTAACAAGTTAGCAAACAGGCATGTTCGCCTTGAGCTGGCAGAATCCAGAGCTGTTCCACGTTGTGATATCTGTGAAAATGCTCCAGGTATTGCTCTTACTCGTCTTCGTGCAAGTGGTTGATTATTCTGTTGCTTACTCGTTACACTCAGTCACTCACTGATCAAGATTGCCCAATGTTTCTTCAGCTGCCATTTGACTCGTGATGGGAATATGTGCATCTCGCTGACTGGATTTCTGATTCTTGCAGCATTCTTCTTCTGTGGAGTTGATGGGACTTCCTTGTGTCTCCAGTGTGACATGGATGTTCACGTTGGAGGAAAGAAGGCACATGAGCGTTATCTTATGATGGGTCAAAGAGTGGAGGCAAGTGTTCTCTCATAGTCGTGATTGCCTTGCCCCTCGTCATGTGATTGGTGTAGTGATTACCTTTAGAATCCTTTAAATCTTCATGAGATCAGTTTCAAGTACGGACTGCACTGATTGCCTTCAGTCTCTTAGCATGCCAGTCCATTGGTATTCTGGTTTTCAAAGTCTCGTTTTCTTCCTAATTCGTGATCGTTATCTTGAAATAGTTTACTATTCACACAATCAAATTGTTTCTTGTATTACTGCTTTGGCTACACGAGTTATAGATTTTGCTGATTGTGGTTTTGAGAGACAAAACGATTCGTGTCTCAATTAGCAAGTTGCGATATGAGTAGGCGGATGATCAGTACTGTTGTGCCCCAGTTTACTGTGTGGGGTCATAATAGTTCGCTGAAAGGCTCATTCTTATGACTCTTCCCCGATCTGCAGCTTCCATCTAGAAAGCTCAGATTCGAAGATAATGTGGACACTGAAAAGCTTCCAGCAGAGCCGAGCAATGCACCTACTGACAAGAATGGAGTCCTACCTGACCATCACCACCACCACCATTACCACCACCACCACCACCATCACCACCACGAAGACGAGGTTAGGGCAGGGTTACCTGCACCCAAACAAAGTTGCGATCGAGACGCTAGTAATGCCCCGGCTATTGCTATTACTGCTGGAGATGAGGAGTCTTTATTGATAGATGGTTGCATACATCAGAATCAGCCTCGAATGATTGACCTCAATTCCCGACCAAAGCGTTTGCAGAGCCAAGCCTCTGTGCCTGATAAGGTGTGGTTTGGGAACAGCCACCCGCAGCGTTATTTGATGTATTATTGGATGTTTTGGGATACTGTATGTAGTGGTGAAGAAATGTATATTTTTTCTGATTCCTTGCTCGCTTCATTTCAGGGTTGATCTCAAGCCTCAACCTGAAGACATACTGCGCCAGTCTTCTCTGCCTGACAGGGTCAGCTTTGAACCAAGAATTTCAAACCATCGCACGTACTTCACATTTGTTTTTGTTTTGTTTTGTTTTTTGTGATGAACCTCTTGGATGTTCAAGAAGCCTTATTCATGTATTGAGGTAGAATGTGGTTGGTTTGATCGTCGATGTGCTGATTGTTGTCAATTTTTAAAGTCTCCTTCATGGTACCAGGGTGCATCCAGCAGAGTGGCGAGGAAGCAGTGGCGATGACTGGGTTGGTGTGGTTTAGAGCTGACTTGCAAGGCTAACCAAAAGGCTACGGAGTGGCTTTTCCTTAACGCATGGACCTTCTGCTACTAATCTTCTATAATCATCAGTGGAACTATTGCATGGACGCGGGCTTGAGTTGTACATGGAACATGTCCCCAAGGAACGTTAGATGTAGAAATTGAGTGCTCTTAAAAAGACTCAAGAAATATTGTTATTTTAATTTTTAAATAGATCATTTTGGCCCGGTCTGTGCAGTTTGTTGTCTTTTGAAGGGCCCAAAACTCCGCTCAACTTTTCAGAGCTCACTACTGGCTGATTTAAAAGCCTTAACCCGAGTGCTCACGGCCTGTTGTGGAGGTCTTCTGGCATTTTTGTAATTTGGTACTTTTCTCTTGTACATGTAAATAGCTTCTGATAGATATTTTCCGACATTTTTGCAGTATGCGCTGGACTCATGTTATTCTTTGGACCATGTCGAGTTGGTTCATTCCACCGTTTCGTAGGAAACCCGGGCAACGGATACTGATATTGGTTCTAGGGTTTTGTCGCGGTCGGGTACAGTAGAATCTTCTACTTGATATATAATAGAACCTGATACGATGGCTGCAGCATACACAACGAACGTGGGTCGTAGCATCGGAAAATATCCGTCTTACAATAATAGCGCATACTGAAGATTCAGTCATTTTGTCATCACAAGTCAGCAGTATCGAATCCTACTTGTGGGAGCTTATTATTATCACGGCACGTGCTTCGTAAACCCTAAACTTCACTCAGGCAGGATCCATTTTTATAATAAAAAAAAATGGAGGGTTCTCATCAACTCGGATGACTTCCTGTCTTAACACACGTTTCATACATAGTCTCATAGATTAGGGTTATTTGCAAGCACTTGCTACGAGGAGAGAGTGATCAGTGTAATATCCTGAGGGTGATTGCAAGGATACTTTGCTTAACCGAGCCGCTGTGCTGTCATTCGGAATGCGATGCCTCCCTGAATATTCCTTTCTTAAGCACCCTCCACCATGTGACGGGACCTGGACAACAGACTCTTCGTCATATTCATTTGTTTATTTTATTTCAAATAATTCTTTCTGAATAACGCTGACATGAGAAAATGATCGCTCTCAAGGATTGGATGGAACGTACAAACCTATTCCTCTGCTGACAAAGGTGTGCATTACGCCCTACACAGAGAAATGAGAGAAAGTGGCCTTTTCCCATCCTTCTGCTTACGTGAATTGGCCATCTTTCAGACTAATTTTGTTTGATGATCATTTCTTTTTATCTGTATTTATATTAGTTAAAAGACTCCATTGCTTTTATTTCCTTGATGCTATTTACATTTTTTGATTTTTTGATATTTTACACAATAACGAGGTATACCCAATGTGCATTTTTGTCAAGCATTACAATTGGTACTCAAATCACCAATCCCTTTGGAACTATTTTGAATTCTTGGATCCAACCTAGCTATTATTCAGTAGTTCAAGGTTATTGTAGACCTCAAGTTATTTACAGTTTGAGCTTTATTTTTTGTTTTTATAAATAACTTACATAGGTTTTGTAAAGCCTCTTTACTTGATTTAAGTGTCAACAATGCATTTTTTCTTTGTAAAAAGAATTCTTCTTAAAGTATGCACCAATCAAATATAGAAAATATAACATATCATTGGTTGATTGGATTTTTTAATTCTACTATTTCATGATTATAATAAAATGTAATAAAAAATGAAATGAATAATTAGCTAACAAACCAAAATCATTTTTTTATTTTTTATTTCTGAATATAAGTTAAACCATTACAAAATATTTTGAGTTCAATTAGTTCATTTTTAGGGAAATTTGAACTAAAAAGGTTAATTTTGATTGAAATTTGCAAATTAACTAAAGAATGCTCTTAGATGTGGCATGAGATTAAGTATGTGAAAATTTAAATTATGAGACCTGAAAAGCTTATAATTGAACTAATATACTAAGTATTGTTTTAAAACAAATACTTATCAAATAGAAACATAAAGAAAACTGAAAACTGTGACATTAGCAAAGACAACAAGAACCATTGTACTTTGATATATGCAATTAGTGTAGTTAGGATTTCTATGTTTCTACAAATTAAATTGTTTTATGAACCTTGTTATGATTTGTACCATATTTTGCATTAAAATAGTAGTTATCTAACTTACAACAAAAAATAGACTATATGTTAGGAAAAAAAATAAATTCAATCAAAATCCTTATATTAGACTTACTAAAGAAACTATAATTATTAACTTCTTACATAAAGTCAATTGAGATTTTTACTATGGAAGTATAGACCTTAGATTCCAATGTATACATGCTTATTTCATCTCAAACCCTAAGTTAGAATTTCCACATGGATTTATTTTTTAAATGTACTAAAAAGAATGAGGCAATAAATATAATAATAGTAATATAATTAAAGATACTATCAGAAGAAGATGATAATAATTTAATAAATGATTTTTTTATTGCAATTAATTCTAATGAATTTAAATTTAAAAAAAAAAAAAAAAAAAAAAAAAAAAAAAAAAAACATTTTGAGTAATCAATTCTATTGCTAAAAAACATATTAATAGAGTATTTTTTTTTTCTTATTCAGTGCGTATAATACTTAGATAATAACCATAAAAGAAAAGATTGTCAGATCCTAGTTGATCTTAAAAAGCAACATTCTTAAAACCGTCAAGTGCTAGACCAAAAGAAAAATCTAAACTCAACTAAATATGGATTTACTACAATCCATAGTCAACTCAAACCTATATATAAAAACTACCTATTTCAAAATATTATTTCTACAAGAAGTAATAATAGAAATGTTAAAAGAAAAGAATCTACTTAATATAAATTTGGGACTATAAATTCTATTATAATAAGCAACAAGTAGATAAATCAAATATAACAAAGAAAACAACAAAATCAAAGTGGACTTACATATAGCATACTTCAATTTTATATATATATATATATATATATATCATCAAAATAAAAATAAAAAAATGATACCTTTAGTTATAGCTTATAAAAATTTCTTGCATGAGGCATACCATAGCCTTTTTGTATATAAATTTAATATTAGAATATATTACCAACGTGTAATCATCTATACTTCTAGAAGCCTAAAGATTTGTAATCAAAATTATCTTAGTAAACAAAAAATATTTCTCAAAAAGATGGAATTACTTATTGCTTTGTGCTAAGACTAATATTCCACCTACAATTCATTGTACAAATGTTTAGTCATTAGAAATAGATATGGCAACAACACAAGCTACAACACTAAAAGACTTTATTTTATTTCTACGAGTTCTAAAAGAACATATTCTACTTGTTGTCCCTTGCATGAAATAAATTTTTATTTGATTTTTGGAAATAGAAAATTTCTTCTATGTCTTAGAAGGAATATTTTGGACATTTTAAAAATATTTTAAAACCTTCTATGGTGTTTTATAAAGTTGCATGTTGTATTAGATAAATTAATAAAGTTAAATAATCCTTCTATGATTACTCTACTTAAAGACTGGGTTTATAAATCATAATGACCTTATGACACACTCTTATTACAAGAACAAAAATTCGATAACATCAGTACAAGAAAATGAAGTTTTTTCTATAAAATAAGATAGATTGCAATACTTTTAAAGCAATTCTTTAATAACACTACATACAATATAGAATTAGAAGAAGTGAAGTGTACAATTTGTTAGCCCTTCTATTAAATACTTAGTATATTTTATTAAATCTTTATTAGAAAATAGGATTTTTTAGATTAATATCAACAATTTATCCATATAAAGTATAGAAATTGAAAAAATCAATGCAACAAGTGAGATTAAATACTTAGTATATTTTATTAAATCTTTATTAGAAAATAGGATTTTTTAGATTAATATCAACAATTTATCCATATAAAGTATAGAAATTGAAAAAATCAATGCAACAAGTGAGACAAATTAAAAATATCTTTCTAGAAAGAAATACATTCTATCTATTAAGTAATATAGATGGATATTGGAAGGTGATTTGAGCATGATATAGATTTTATTTATTTATTTATTTATTTTTAAATCATCATATTATGATAAATATATTTATATTTAAAAAAAGAACATAGAAAGATTAAAAAAGACACTTAGATTTTTATGTCCATTTTTGTATTAAAATATAGTAATATATTCATAGAATACAAAAATTGATGAGATTTAAGTTTTGGCAAATTTAAACGTGTTATATGTCTCTTGCTATTTATATCAACATAAGGTATTAGAATATTAAAAAAACAAGAATTTTTATTTATTTGACAATATTGAAGACCTGAAAAGCATATTGAAGACTAGAGGGGCTTTTGGATTTATCACTTTGACATAACTATAAATATAGGAGATTAAAGCCCACGTCAACATCAATGAACCTTCTTCTTTAAAATCCCTAAAATAATTAAAAATAAGGCAAAAATGTCCCATGGTCTCTTATTTTTTATTATTGGAAAGTTTTCTCGTTTTGATCAATCAAATATCATTTGAGAGACACATTCTATCTATGAATTTTAAACAAGTTATTATTGATCAATACATAGATAATGTAGCTAATTTTTTTAAAAGAGTATTAAATATAGATGTTGAAATTATTATTTTTAATATTTTTTTACTTCTCTTTATGTCTCAAGATTTATTGGCTTAAATAAAATAAAATAAAAAATGATATCCTTATCCAAAGAAACCATCATAAATACATACTAATAAAAATGAGCTAATTAATAGGAACTGGATTTTCTCTGGATTTCTTCTCAGAACGGAGATAAATTCTAAAATATATACTTAATTTCTTGATTTAAAAGCTATAACTAAATTTGATTATCAGTATTCTACTAGATTGAACTTGGCACCAAGGATCTTAATTATTCTGTATTACTTTATTAATTATTATTTGTTTTATTATATTATAAACTGATTCTATTTAAGCCATAAAATCTATTAAAAAATTTGTATGAATTATTTTGTAAGCAAGCAAAGGAACTAAGACTAAAACTTATATATTCTAATACATTGATACTCAACATATGTAATATGAAGGTTTTAATCTACTTGAATCTAATTTAATTAATAATTTTTTGACCACTCAATAGATCCTAAAAGCACTTTATAAAAATTTAAAAAACATATATTCATTATTCTTTGTAATAAAATATAAAATATAAACTACTTAAATAAATTATAAGATGTTCTTTAGATGTACACTAGATGACAAAACCAACATCAAATTTTGCAATATGTTCCAAATTATAAAATTAAATCCTTTTATAATTTGGAACATATTGCAAAGTTTGAGTAGTTTCGTTAGAAGACTAATTTTAGAATATATTATAATAAAAAAATAGATGTAAAAATATTAGATAAATTTTAAAAGAAATTAGATTTCACACAATTAGAGTATACATTCATCAGTTAATGCAAGACAATTCAATGGCAAGATTTTACTTTGATAATGATCTGCCTTTTTTTAAATAATTAATGTGGTAATTATTTCTATTAATAAAAATATGAAAAAAAAATCTTTAAATCATATAAATGGTACAAATATATATAATATTTTTAAAAAGTCAAAAAAATCATAAAATTAAAATTTATTTGATAGGTTTCTATATATATATATATATATATATATAGACTTAATATAGACCTGAAATATGCAAAGAATAATCTCTTTGTAAGGTCTCTCTCTCTCTCTCTCTCTATATATATATATATATATATGTATAATTATTTTTTCAATATTCTAAATTATTACAATGTTAATATTCATCTACAGATTTTTATTTTGCAATAAATCTAATAACAAATTTTGTTACCTATGTTTGTGGTTTGATAAATAAATGATCCAAGATTTTACAATACAAAAAAGTGTCATTGTCATAAAAACATTATCCTCTCATACATTTGATTACTTCAAATCTATCCTCTATAATTATTTAAAATATTGAAAGAGTTCAGTATCACAAATGGTTCATTTTATCTCAAATTCCATGAAATTCATAAGTAAAATAAAAAATAAAATTTAAATGTGGAATAAAATAAATAAATAAATAACTAATCATTGAAATTTTCTCCATTATTTTTCAAATCTAAGACCCTAATTACATAAGGAATGTTCTGCAAGGATTTAGCACCTAAGTTTTACTTCGCTTTTCTTTTTCTTTGTTTATAAGTGGAAATCAAAGAACACTATAAAGATAAATGAATCATGTAAAAATAAAAATAAAATAAAAAACAAATCAATATAATATTCAAAAAAAAAACAGAAATATTTTATGTTCACAATTTTATTATTCCAAACATTTGGTTAAGATTCGTCTCTTCTGAGTCCTTCTTGTTGCTTTGTTGATCTGATAGATCCTGTAAAGAAATCATATACTTCTTAATAGTTAGTTTATTAATTATGTCTTTAAGTTAGTTTATAAAACTGTTGCATGATAATTGAAACACTATTACTCTATATGAAATGTATATAATGGTGTAAGAAAAGAATCAAGAAAAATTGTACAATTTAATGGTGATATTAATTAAAATAGTCACTTCAATAATTTTAATGACGACTATAAACTATCCATGTAATTTTAATACATCTTTTGTTACTACCTGTCTACACATGAATCGTAATAAAGTGTTGGCTTTGGTACCTTCTAAACTACTTGGTGCTAAGAATGGTTTGATGTATTTCTCATCCAACTTAGCAAACGATGCCCTGTATAAAATTATTATTAAGTAGAGAGTTATAGTCTAAAACTATTACACACTTTCATAAATACTTAATCAAACATCTTTTGATTATTCTATAACATTCTTATTAATGATTGAATCATCAATCCACAAAGCACTTAATAATTATTTCAATGTGAATATATATATATATATATATATATATGTGTGTGTGTGTGTGTGTGTGTGTATATATACACGTATATACAAACTCACATATGCATGAATGAACAGACTGAAAAGTATGGAAGTTACGCTTGTTCAAACTTTTGTAGTTTATTTTGAAGAATGGTTTTATGTTTTTGAGAAATAGTTGAGAAAATCATTTTATTTTCCACAATGGGTATGTTTTCAAGCTCCTGCTCTTCCTCATCCTACATTCAAATATTTTAGCAATTAGGGAATCAAACAAGTTGCGGATTATTCAACGTAAAATGGTGAAATGTAATGGGTTTAGCCTATAACTCTCTACTTAATTAAAATAAATAATAATTTCGTATGCAAAATCTGAGTGACAATAACATATAATCCTCTAAAGAAATTCCCATTGATCTTTTCAAGGTCCATAATAACTGGAATATTGTGAGTGCATGCCTATTCTATTTTCAAATCATTATCCTAATGAATGATTGTTTTCAACTCACATACCTCATTTTTATTTGATACTTGATTTGCCACATCATCTTTACTCACATGAAATTCGATTTCAAGGTATTTCAATACTTGAGCTGTTGATCCACCTATAAATAGTACCTATATCATTTTGCCTAAAAAATTATAACGAGTAAACTCTTATTATAATAATGTTGCTTCAATTTGTTTTTAAAACATTCTCTACGTATGTCAATCATTCATTTTTTATCTTTTATCTTTTAAAAATTCGAATTACTATTCTTAGTGGTTTTAGGTCCTTTTTTATTCATATATCACTTAAAGCTTAAGAGATTTGTGACAAAATAGGAAACTATTATCAGGTCATGAGTACCTTTAGCCCATTGATTTAAATTGTAGGTTGTATAAATATTAACTTTTATAGAAATAATTGATAAAACTATAAATGTATTTAAGGGTTTTATTTACCATATAACACATTTTATGTTTAAAATAATCACTTACAGTGAAAAATATTGTAAAAAGAGTTGAGGTAAGGTATATTCGACCATAGTCTTTGGGAAGATCAACAACAGATTGTGATGCAAGAGCAAAGGCCATTGCTCCTCTGAGTCCTAGATTCATTAATTCGATTAACTTGCATTAGTTTATTTCACATTTTAAAAAAAATACAAAAAAATACAAAAATACAAACTTTGCTTATGTTTAAACCATCGTGCTTACCGCTAAACCATAATGCATGTTGAAATCTTGTGGGAATTTTTTTGGAGATTGGTCTTCTGAGATTTATCAACCAAGAGCAAGGATAGATATTTGCTATCCTAAAAAATTGGATTCAAAACAATTTATGGATAGTAGAACGGATAAAAATAATATTATAATTTCTTATATTATTCATAACATTTTGATATTTTATTGTTTGAGTTTTATAGAAAAAAAAATGTAGCTAGCAAAGCCTACCCATCTTCCAAAAACTTTTGTTGATGCAAGTCAATAATTCAATTTTATTATCTTAAATTAAAACTTAATTCATGCTTGTATATTATCAAGCATTGACAAATAAATGGCATGAAAAGGAAATTTTAAAATTAGATCAACATTACAAACTAATGAAATTGAACTAAGAAATTAGCATAATCACAATGAGAAATTTATGTTTTGAAATAGAAGCAGACAAAAAAGAATAATCAATACATGAGTCTCTTAGAAATAAGTAAGAAAATAAATAAAACCCAATTATGTTAGTATACGACCAGAACATAATTCAGATTTCTTTTATAAAAGAAAATTAAATTTGATAAATGTTATTAGTTATTAAATCATGAGATATGAATTATTGGCTCTTATTGTAATAACTTAGTGCTATGATTTGACAGATTGAAAGTGGAGGCATAAATTACCTTGCAATTAAACAACTTATCTTGTAAATTGAAATGAATTTTTTGTTAAGATTTCAATAGGAAAATACTTAAACATCTTAAAATTTATAGTAGAATATAAAATTTTGAATAACATAAAATCAGCTGCAACATATTATTTATATAAATCAGAAAAAATCTATAAAAATAACTTATAAAATATTCATATATAGGAGGATACAATTGTAAAAAATGTAAATCCAAAACTATGCCAACTTAGTTGTTCAAGAAACATAGCAACACCCATGTAAATAAATCTGTAAATAATGAAACAAGAATGTATTCAACTTCATGTATATTCACACATCTATGATGTATCTTTTGAACATCACTATTAAGTTGTTATTTTATATAATAATAACGTTTGAATAAAAAAAAGTATTTGTATATCTGTAATATATTAAATTGGAACAAAAATATGTAAACTTCAAAGGACATATTGGAATCTTTTGAGTTTGTGTTCAGTTCTAAAAAACAAATTTAAGTTAATTAATTTTACTTTAATATTCAAAATGTGAACAATATTATTATAAAAATAAATAAATAAAATATCTGAAAAAAACATTTAAAATATGTCAAAGAGTAAATTTATTTCAACTAGGAATAGAAAGGCAAACTTACACAAACGTTTCTGATAGTTTGGCTAACATCTGAAAAAAACTTGTTGTTAATTGAGTGGCTGCTAATGATAAATTTGGAGCTGTGTAATACCTCATCCCCTAAAACATTGTAAGTAGTTGGTTCAGGTAAATGTTAGACTTGAATAATTACATACACATGTTGATTTTTTAGCAATTCTCATCTCTAACTCATTCAATATAAAAATGAAAATAAAAAAAATTCATAATTTGAAAGAATGAATATATGTGTGTGTGTATATATATGTATGTATATACACATGTATGCATAAATAATTTCCAACTAATGTAGAAATATGTTCTCAAAACTAAGTTGTGTAGATCTAAAGCTTAAAAAAAAAAAAAAAAAAAAAAAAAAAAAAAACTTGAAAGCTGTACCTCCCCAAAAAATCATATTCACATTCGAGTGGAATTTTTTCGATTGAATTATTGATTTATAGAGGGTAATTAATTTTTATCCATGCTACATAATTTTTACAAATAAAAATAATAATTTTAACAATAATGAAATGATTAGTACTACATGCATTTAACACACTTCAACACACTTCAACTTGTATTTTTTTTTGTTTGAAGTTCAATAAATGTCAAAAAAAATTGTTGAATATGATACAAAGTCGCATAATCAACCCTCTATGCTTTTCACAGCCATCAAAACCAAACCTCTCATTGACCTCCAAATTCCAATAAATAAATGAACAAATAAATAAATCATCACTGACATCTACACATATGGATTTTTTTCATTTGTTCTTCTATTTTTTTATTTTTTTTATTATAAAAAGTGTAATTTTGTGAAGAAAAATCATACAATGCCTGCAAATAAGATGGCAACTATTCCAGAAAGATTGAGGCCGTCAGCGAGCATGTAGGATGCATATGGGAATAAAACCACCAAACAAACCTCCAATGTTGTCAACCTAGAAAAACATCAACAACACAACATGGCACAAAATACAATTCTAATAAAATACTAATAAAATACCAATAACATAACATCATAAAGTGACTAAAACATAAACTCCCACTATTATGCTTTCTTTCAAAAAAAACAAAAAAAAAAACTTTTTTGAACCCAAATTGCTTTGTCTGTGTTTTCCTCTTCCAATATAATACGCTAGCATGGGTACCATTATCAAATTATAAAACGGCATTATCTTTCTTTTTTTGGCCTTTTTTGTTAGTATTAACATTATTATTATTATTATTATTATTGTTACTACTACTACTACTAATTGAGTTATAACTCTTCTTCTTGATGAAGGGATCCATATTTGAACAGCAAAGCACTTGCCAGTGCAGCAAAGACTCCTGAATGAATTTTCTTTAAAACAATTTTTATCAAAAGAAACAACAATGTTAGAATATGGAGGCATTGATATGCAGTAGGGTTTATCAAGAGCATGGCCATGTTTTGGTGTCAAAATGAGATGGAAATTCAATTATGTTATGTCTGATGTTATATTTGCATTGATTGCAACAATCACAAAAACATACATTAATTTGATTATATTTACATACATCAATAATTGATTGTGTGAAAAATCTTAACCTATAAAAAGAGATCCCACAAAAATCCCTACGAAATACAGTATTGCATTTAGAATCCCTTGGCCAGTGATTGTAGTGCCAACAAATGACATTAATGTCCTGTTATATATATATATATATATATATATACACACACACACAGTTAGGTAGTAAGATTGTAAGAGTAAAATGTGAAGATATTAAACTAAAACAAATGTTTGTTATTGTAGGGTTACAAAATTATATTCATTCAAGGCATATCAAATTCATGATTATAGAATTGCAGAAGAATTCAAATGTAACACAAATTTATGTACCTATAAGTAACAATAGCCACCTGCATCATATCATTTTTAATTTTTTTATTGGGAGAATCAGTATGTAAATTGATTATGGGTTTTTGTTAAAAATACTAATTCTTAAATTAAAAATTTAACCTTTGAGAGATTGGTTTTTGAGATGAAGTTTTTAGTAAGTTATTTTATCATTTTAGTATTGAAAATTGAAGAGATCAATTATTATAATTATACATTTAAGTGACACCCATATTTATTTATTTACTCATTACACAATATACAATTAAAAATTCTAGTCACATTAACATTAAAATTTTCAAAATAAGTAATGAGGCTTCTGGGTTTTATTGGAAATTATTAAGCTTCATCATCTCATTTTCACAAAAAGTACATGATGCTAAAAACACCATTTCAAGTTGTAATTAAAGAAAAAGAAATTCTTTAATTACAAAGAAAAAAAAAAAAAAAAAAAAAAAAAAAGCACAAAAACCACAAAAAATTCTAAGAAAAAGATTACTTTAAAGTGAATTACAACTCAAGGTGCCAATAACTCACAGCATCATTTAATACAGATTCCCCAAACACGTAAGCCTTCAAATCTGCATCCACTTCAAGCACCTATATCATCCATCCATTACAAAAATATAACACCAAATTTTTATTATAAGATAAAGTCCTTTCCTGAGTAATTTCATAGCTACGTTATTTGAAACGCCACCACTTCCAAAACACCCATACAATTATTTAACATAGTAAAATTTTAATTAATTTTAAGGTGTGTGTGCATACACAAGTATAGAGAGAAGATAAGCACCCAATGTTTAAAATAATCATGTGCAATATATGTTATGGTAGGAATATACATGAAATAAAAGTGCATTGAGAGATAGGCATAAATTATTAGTTTCATCCATCCATCCATCCATCCATCCATCCAAGAGTGAAGAAGAATACATTAAATATTGCGAGAACGGTGACGGGGTCCGTGGCAGATATTAGAGCACCAAATGTAAGTGATACAAGAAAAGGCATTGAATATGTCCAACCCATGAACCCAAACATCCATCTGTCATCCACAGAAACCTTCATTTTCATCCATACATTCATCCACGATAAATTTAAACTAGATTTATAGATAGAAAAATAAATTGATTCATGAAAAACTGTAACAATATTTGAAAGAACTTTCATGGAAATCAAAACAAACTTGAGCAATTGACATGAGCTTCTAATACAACAAAAACAATTAGAACATTAATTAATTAGTATGAGAAATTAAATAAACAAAGTTGAGTACTTACAATAGAACCCCAATCACGAATGTGGAGATGATAGTCCCTAAAAAGGCAAAGGTGCATATTGCCCCAAAATTTGAAAAGAAATGACTCTAATTTTGAAATACATTATTGTGTTTGTGAGTGAATACAATGTTGTATAAACATCATATGTATATTCATCCATGTTGGATTTAAACCAAAATATAATATGTATACAGATGTATATATATATATATATATATATATAAGAGAAAATGAGATGGCTTAAGTTTGAGAGTAACGTACTGGTTTTAAACTCCATCCTGAATCAGTGTAAAATTGGATTTAATTAAGGAAAACTAATCATAAGTTTTTTACACGGTATAAATTTTGACTATGTATATATACATATACATATATATAATTTTTAAGGATATAATATGATTGGAGGTAGCAAAACATAAAAGAAAAAGTGGTTGTTGAAGTTTATCCAAGTCCTGATTGAAATTTATTACAATGTAACACAGAAATTGCCACAGTGTTTTTAGCATCAGAACTCCTCACTAGAATTCAATCAGTAATCAAAGTCAAACAAATTATAACTTAAAACTTGATCCATCAAGTGGGTCATTTGTGTAAAACAACACACATGAATAGTACATAGTTATGATCAAAAATCAAACATTAAGATTGTGTTTTATTTTATTTTATTTTATTTTCAATTGTTTTTAAAAACGCATTCAGAAACTTACTTAAATCCATTGTCACCCATCAAAGTTATCATCAAGCCAACAAAAACACCTGCAATGCCATCCATATTCATTTGATGTTTAATGTCACATTACTGCTACATTCAAAGCCAATATTGATTCCATCTTTTTTTTAAGCAATATTCTGATTTTCATTTTTGAATGTTTTCACAGCTAAAATAATTCAACCAAAGCACAGATTTTAAAATGATTGCAATCACATGTGAATATGAATAAATTGCTCACATCTTATTGTTAATAATTTAACTACACACCATATATATATATATATACATATATGAAGATTTTTGTAATAATCTTAATTAATATTTGTAGATTATAACATGCACATAATATTTAAAAGGATTAAGAAGTCACAATTAAATATTAAGGGGGTTATTTTGAGCTTCTTTACCCAAGAGAAGAGCAATGCCTGCCTCATGGATGATGAGGATATTTTTTTGCCGCATGATATGTCCAACAACAAATGTAAACCCTAATATTGTGGTTTGAAGTAGAATGGATAAGCTTGGCACATTTGAGGCTTGTTCCTCCAGTGAAGCTTTTGGTGGCTCAGAGGTAGTCTTCATTGTACTATTCATTTCTGTATATAAATGTGTGTGTGTGTGTGTGTACACACATATGTATATATATATATATTCAAGAGTTATAAGATGGTTTCATAATTTTGTTTGAAATCCATGTCTTCCCCTCCTTTGTAGGAATAGATATATGTATATTTATTTTTTTTCAATTTTTGACCTGTGTATGAATTGGAAAAGTTGTGCACACATGCATAAATACCATAACAATTCAAGTGTGCTAATTAATAATGATATTGTTTCATATATTACAACCGAAATTTGTATATATTTTGAGTGAAACTTTGATTCCTTGATTTTAGGTTATTCTGGTTGCTTGTAAAAGTGAAAATATACCTGTTCTGTATTTCATAAACTATGATTAAAAGACATGATTTATCACAAGGAAAATTTCATCCAAGCATGATATTCTTTGAATTTTATGTTATCTGATTGTTGTTTTTTTCGTAAAATTGAATGTGCAAGTTTTATTTTTTATTTTCTTATTTCCTTTATTAGGATGAAAATGTTGAAATATAATTTATGATCTTTTCAGAAATAAGCACAGTAAGTCATCCTGAATATTGAGAGATTTAACGTAGTTCAGTCATTGGAATACTAGTTACCTAATTTCTATTAAGAACAGACAAATCTTTTGCTAAACATTTAAATTTGAATCAATCAAAAATAATATTTTTTGTATTATGTTAAAGGTTTGTAAATGGCTCCTCTTCTTCTTTTCTTCTACTTTTAACTTTTTATTATTATTATTTTTAATGAATAATCAACAATACAGAATTTTATAAATTGTTATGGAACTGCACTGTTTTGATGTAAACAAAAAAAAAAAAAAAAAAGAAAAAAAAGGTATCAACAAGTGTTGTTTAGAATATGCTTTTATAATCTTTACAAAATAGAAAAATAAAAGAGGTAAAAAATTGCCATTTCGTTTTTCTGTGCCAGACTCATAATAATAGCATTAAAAAATTCACATGCAATCTTTGTAATCTAAATTTAAATTTCGATTGTTTACTGTATTATGTGTAATACATTTAAATCTTGAAACAAAACACCCACACATTAAATCTTTGATTTTGACTTCGGTGAAGAAAAGAAAAAAGCAAAAAGACACCAAAGTCAAAACATGATATATGATATGCATGTTCTAGACTTATGATAAGATTTTAAAGCGTTTTGCTATATATAAAATCGAGGTTCAATCCCATTCAAAATTGAGTGTTTACTATGATGCTTCAAAAAGGATAGTGCATATTTGAAAATTTTTAGGGCTTGAATACTTTTTTTAAGTAGATGTGATATGCTAACCTAAAACTTGGAATCATGAATGATATGTAGGATAAATCCTTTTCAAAATGGTCAACATTCATTTTTCTAAAGAAAATATTGAGATTTGGACATAATATTTTCATTAAAATGTATACTTGAAATAATGGCCTCAAATTACATTTGTATGATCCAAATTTTGTCATTTTTCACAACACTTCAAATGTCTCGATATCATAAACGAGGTAAAATCTGTAAACAGGTGAACAGAAATTTCCTTACGAAATTTGAATACTACAGTAACTCATAAAAATGATGTTTCTAAAAAATCTATTTTATTCTGTTTGAGAGCAATTTTAGACTTTTGAGAAGTAGAAATGTGACAAAGATCTTTAAAAAATAATAAAATGACACTAGATTATGTGTGATCTTCTATTTGGTTTTTGAAATTTTGAAATTCAATAGCACAATTCATAGTGAGGTTGAATTGTTTTTATTATAAGTATTTGTGTGATTGCATAATATATTCGATATTCATGTAGCAACTTTGAAATGTAAATGCTCTTGAAGGTAAGTTTTATTTTTTATGAAGATGATAAAAATTATTAAATTTATTAATATTTTAAAATTATAAAAATATAATAAAAATAATTTAAAATAGTTAATTTTTATTTTTATTTTTGCATATTTTTAAAATAATAATAATAATAATAAATAAATAAATTATTTGAATTTACACACTTTTATTTCAATGCAATATGCCCACTTATTACAATTCAAAAAAAAAAAAAAAAAAAAAAAAAATCACCCTTTTACACCAAGAGGTTTTCAAAACATAAAAAAATATACATATACCAAAATTTAATTAAAATTTTACATTAAAGATATTATTATTCATATTTTTTTTGCTAAAATTGACAGTGAATCTTAAGATAAATACAGATACTAAAATCAATAGTCTACTAATTTATTTTTAAACCATTTTAAAGAAAATTCAAGAATAATATTAGCTATTTTGATATTTAATTTTAAAACTTTACAACTAAAAATAGTAAACTAATCTTAATGTATAGGTTTTAAATGATTAACATTATGTTTCAAAAACACCCAAATAATCAATTAATTTTTTTTAAAGATCTAGATTTAGAATTAATAATTGATAAATTCAGATACTTCTATGTATGCATTCAAAGTTTTATATAATAAAATTTCTTAGTTTACAAGAATAAAAATTTAATATTATACTTTATTGTATATTTTATTTGTTTGGAGTGTGAGTTTTATGCATTTTAAGGATTTTAAAATGGCCATGTTAAGATGAATTTTTTTTAAACTTCAGTGACCATTGCAAATTTATCATGATGTCTATATATATACATACATACATACATACATACACACATATATATATATATTCCTGAAAAAATATAGGTGCCTATATTTGTTAATGCAATCTTACTAGCAAAGCATATGATATACCATCAACAACTTTCTCTAGTACATTCTTGTTGAATCATGCTCTTCCTACACATTTTCTGCTAATTTAAAATAATAATAACAATAATAATATCTTAATAAAAATAATTTCACATACCAATTCAAATACAGAAGTGCATTATAAATCAGACTTCAGCGTACACTGGTACAGCATGCAAAATATGGAAATAGTAAGCGAGTCCTTTCACAGTTCAAACCTCGTACAAAAACATAAAAAGACAAAATTATTATGAAAAAGAAAAAGAAAAAGAAAAAACACACGTAAGTAAATGGATTTTCCCAAAATAGAGGCCCGAAACGGAGCCCTCATCCGCGGTGACCCAATCCCGTGCGAGAGGGAGCCGTGGAGTCATTCAAAACCAGATGGCACGCTATAACCGACCTCCACTGACCACATGGGACAACGCCGTCTGCCACGTCTGCAAGCACGCCGCCACCTACGCTCATGAGAATTTTCGAGTGCAACTTCGTAGGCTTGGGCAGAGCCTGATAGCATCTCTTCGAACTGTTCGTCTCCGAGCAACGCCGGTTTGCTATTGTAGCAGCCATTCCATGAGCTATGGCGACGAATGCTGGACCTCTGACGCTGTATGTAGACCTCTTGCCGCAACCAGCTCGAGCTGTGTCCTTATTCTGCAGGTACGCAGCAATTTTTATGGATTTTTTTGCTGGGTTTTACTGAATTGTAGTGACGATTCAGCTTCGAAGAAGAAGAAGCAGTGGAAGCCGATGGAGAGTCTGGAGGGACGGGTACTTTGGGTCCTCCTTCTTCTGGATTCTGATGCGTTGTAGCTTTACATAAAGACTCTGTTATCGTGGATTGTGACAGGGTCAACAAGATTCCGCATGAGGAGGTTCATGTGGAGGTGACGAAAGGGGAATGACGGACGCCGAGATTCAAGAGTGAGTGCCCCCTCCTAGCTGCTGCAGCAGCACAAGCCTCTTGTTGCCAGGGTCTCGTGAAGCGGTTTAAGTCTCGAAGTTTGTCAGATTATTTCGATCATTAGTAAGGTCAGAGAAAACGGTTGCGCTAATTGGATTGGTCAATGTGGTTGCAGAGATTAATCCCATGGGTTAAGTTCCCACAATCGTCGACGATGGATTCAAGCTCCACGAGAGGTACGTGGGTTTTGTTGTTCACCTCTAAATCCTGTTTTGATCGACGCTTCAAGGTGAGTGTGGTTCCTCTTTTGTTTGCCGCAACTATTTTTCGAAACCTGGATCATGGTATTTGATGTTTGTCGGAGAACCCCATGATTTTAGCCGTCTTCTTCACAATGCAGCCATGCAATTCTAAGATACCTAGCAACAACGCGCGACGTAGCTGATCACTGGTACCCCAAAGACCCGAAGAGGCGGGCGCTTATTGACAGTGTCGTAGATTGGCATCACTTACATCTTCGCCGCAATGCATGTACGTCAGCATAATTGAACTCTAACTTTGAAATTTTAAACTTCACATCTCAACCGAATAATTGTACGTTGAGTAGCTCATTATCAACGTCTCCTGTGGATGTTTGTGGCAGTTCTCCTTGTCATGCACCGCGTGATTTCGCTGTTGCCTGGTATTCCGAAGGGTATATATCCTGAGCACGATGAGGCTGTTGCAAAGGAGTCCAAAACCGGACTAGACCATGCTCTTGATTACATTGACACAGTCCTCCTGAAGGGACCCAATGGGTTCTTAGAAAATGCAGAGGAAGTGTCCATTGCCGACTTGAGCCTTGTTTGTGAAATCAAGCAACTTCTAGTACCATTGTGCCCCCTTTCTGTTTCTTGCACAAGCCTGTGGTTGGCTTCTCGGCATGTTTCTGGCCTTGGAAAGCGCTCTTCCAGCCAGCCGTTTCCTGGCCTATCAAGCTATGGTTACCTAAACAGTTCCTCTCTCAATGATCAAAATTTTACTTTCATGGATAAAATTTTGCTTTCACTTCATCAACGAGAGTGATGACTTGTGTTCACAAGACAATTTAAAGTGGGAGTTTATAAGACCTGTTTTTGTGTTTAATTGAAATGCACATATTTTAGTTTTGTAAGTTTGCAAAATGTACCGTATGCAAATTAAGACAAGTTAGTGTGCCAAAGTTAAGAAGTTGTGTTTTAAAAGAATTTTATTTCATTGCACACAAAGAAGTGTATTTTAAATCAAACAAGTTTGGATATTTCTTTGTATGCAATTTAATTTATTATTTTTAATAGAAGGTAATACAATTTACACCAATGAATCTTAATATAATATATAGCTCTAATTTTATAGAAACAAACGCTTGATTTTAAGTAAATATTATATTAATATGACTTTACTTTAGATTTTCTAAAAAACTATATTAGTTTTATATTTTTTATTTTTTTGTAGAAAGTTGATATACAGTATATTGTTATGAAATAAACATTTGAAAACTAAATGTATGTATAAATAACAATCAATCAAACTTGAACGATCTCAAACAATTTGGTTGAAAAACTAAAAAAACATAGTCAAAAAAAGTATTTCTCCTACTTAATAGAAAAAATATATTACACTTTTGTTTTTAGAAGTTTAAATTATTTTAAAAGTGCAAAAAATATCCTAAATCAAAATATGTATTTTATACTATTTTGATGAATGTATGTTTAAATTTTTTTTAAAAAAATCTTCTACCGCTGCATCTATTTGAAAATAACATCGAAATACAAAAGGGAATTGATATATGTATTGGGGTTTTTATTGATTGGGTTTTAATTACAATATCTTATTAAACAGCACATTATTTTAACACATAATTTATTGTGTTAAAAAATAAATATAAATATATTCATGTTTATCATTGATAAGTGTTAAAACTAAGTTAACATACCACATTCATAAATTGATATATGTACATATTATCAAGATTATGTGTACACATATCAAATTAACATAATATCTTTAAATTGATATATATACACAATATCTTATTGTGCATTACAATTAAGTGTACATATGTTAGTTTAAAAAAAGATTATATATTAAAATTGTGTGGTTTACAATAAGATATAGTGACCGAAATCCAAGCAATTTAGTAAAAACCCCAATCAATATATCAATTCCCAATATAAAATCCATGAACCAATAACATTTAGTGGAACATATTATTAAAAAGAATATCTTCATTTTTGCATTTATGCATCTATTCCAATTTCTTGTGAAATAATGCTTTAAAAAGGCAATAATGTTAACAAACATCAAAATTACAAATGCACATTTTAAAAAATATTGAATTTCCGCACTTTCAAATCATTGCCTTGGAGTTTGATGATACTTTGAGCGTCCAATAAAAGCAATCAAGTCTCAGCAGTTTAAGATTGGATTAAGATTAGATGCTCTATCTTTGATTAACAGCACTTGAACTACCGTTCTTCATGATGTTAAACATGCATTCAATGTCCTTGAGGAAATGTGCAAGTTCCATGCATATGGAATAGAAATTTGCTCGCAGTGCTTGTACCAATTGGAGCTTGTGGACAAAAAAACGCTTGTGAAATCACATGAAGTTGTCTCCAGTGTCTCCACTCCTCGAGGCCGACTAGCTTCCTTCACTTCTTCTTCCTTGATCATAAGAAGAGAAGCCATAAAAAGGGATCCAACAAGCTACAGCAGAGTCTGACTATCTGTCACTGATGGGGTACTGAAGGCAAAACAATGTAAAACCCCAAGTCATGGTTCCAAAATGGTTTGATTCCTACTACTTGGCATGTTCAATGACTGCACTGACATGTTGAAAAACTTGAACGACGGAAGGAAGGACCCAATTCCTACTTCAGATATTCTGAATTGATGTTTTTGACAGTGCAAGCTCATTTGATACCAGATGATGAAATACCTCAAGGCAAAAATACCGTTTGTATGTGCTCTATCAATCATACTCAGGAACAAGCTGCGATATCTTCCCCTCCTCTGCAGCAAGTCGCTGCTCCGTGACCCTTAACCATACACACACGGCAGTGAAGCTCACAATCAAGCTGAGGAATCCACTGCCAAGGCCTATCCCGACGATTGCCAGTATAGAGAGGGTACGGCTCTTTGGATAGGGAAGTGGGAAGCCATATAGTCTTGGATTTCCCTCAAACGAGGAGGCATTGAACCTGGGTCGCCCGTCGGAGGTGTTGGAAAGCCCTGTAGGTATGGGCCCTACCAGATCATTGTGGGAGACGTCCAAAATCTGGAGCTTCTGAAGGGTCGCCAGGGCAGTTGAAACCTCCCCGGAGAAGCGGTTGTGCTCCAGATCAAGCTCATGAAGGTAGGAACAGTTGGCGATTTCCGGAGGGATAGGTCCTGATATCTGGTTGTGGCTCACATTCAAGGTCATAAGGTAGGATAGCATTCCCAGTTCGGAGGGTAACGTTCCTGTGAGAGAGTTTTGGGACAAGTCAAGGATGCCCAGGTTCCTACAGAGCGAGAGATTGGGGGAGATCATGCCTGTCAGTCCCTTGTCGCTGAGAAACAGTGACACCACCCTGCTGCTACTGCATGTTATCCCCACAAACGTAGCTCTCTGTCCATCTTGTGTTGTGTTGCAAGGGAATGCAGTGTCGGTCCAATTGTTGAACAGTGCAGGGTCGGAGCTTTTGGCCATGGACTGGAAGCCGTGTAAGCACGCAATGTCATCCTCGTTGGGCTGAGCAAGTGCTAGTTCCGGAATGGAGACTAGAATTGAAAATAGAGCCAGGTACGATACCGACGTTGTAAGTAGCCACAAGCCTGTATCGGAGCCGCGAGTAAACTTCATGGTGAGCGGGATATTCACGAGCTCTCACTTGAATCTGCGCTAGGTATTACGACGATCATGACTAATACTACAGCACTGTCTTCATCCGCATCCTGTCAAGAGCAGGTTAGAGTATATCTCATGTGTAGCTAAATCTCTAAGGCACCACCTGTTCTTACATATCGTTGCACATCAGATTATCTATAATAAGCACCTATTCGTCAACGCCCTCATACAATGATTCCACCTGAATAGTAATAAGTCAGAAAGAGAAGGGAGATAAAATGAAAAAAATAGAACAAAGGCTTCCAAAAGTTATCAACTCACGTGCAATGAAACAGACCGTTCTGGTCCATGATATGAACTAGGAAAAATCCCACCTAGTCACCATCACAAGTCACCATTAGTCACGAGAATGGCGTGATGCCTATGAGACCTCAACCAAAGGTTATTATCAAATTGGGAAGAAGAGAAAAGGAGCAAAAGAAAACCCTAAACATCGACAGGAGAAGAACTCCCATTGTGAGCTACCCGCAAGAGTGAAACGACCGGGAGTGTTCTCATACCTGCAAACTTAGCAACTCCTCACCATGATTGGAGTTTTATCCATGACGAGATACGACACAGGTACCCACAGCAGCAGAAAAACGCAATCTCGTCCCACGACCATGACCCTCGCGCCCAACCCAATTCTGCTACTCCGCTGGAAAACGCAAATTTACACCAGAAAGTTTGACCCTTGTGTCTCACTCCGATCACCCTATCACACTCCTTGTACGAGACTCGTCATCCAGACATCAAAAACTTCCCCTTCTCTTCAGTGTTGTTGTACTGTGTTGTAAGAATACTTCAAGCCCGAGAGCAAGCTCCACATGAGGCATGGTTGAGTCCGCGTGGGAGAGGCTTTTCCTTTGCTGGGCAGCGATTCTTCATTCCCATGGCCAATGAGACGCAACAAGTGTGTCTGTGTCTGCGCGGGAGCGTGCACAGCCAGTTCTCATAGGGCTCTCCAACGGTGATAGGAGGATGCCGCGGCCACACCCCTGCGCGCACCGCGCGTTTGCGTCTGCGTCAGTCCCGGGCGTTGGCGTTACCGCCATCCTCCAGTTCATGGGAAAGTATCGTGATTGCATGATTTCTTCCAAGGAATTAAATTAAAGTTATGTGAAGTGGGTAGAGAGCTCGATTTGATGTTGATTCTATGTTCTCCTTCATTCTGTTGTCTTAATTGTGTTTAGAATTGACAATGCTTTACTTTTTAGCCAATCCCAAAAAGATTGTAGCCATTTAATTGTATTCTTTATATATATATATATATATATATAAGTGTGTGTGTGTGTGTGTATGTATGAATGTATGCTTATCAAAAAGAATATTGCTTAATTATAACCCCCATGGATGGAAATTGTGTAATCTATACAAGGTTTTAGAATTTTAAGTGGAGTTATGTAATTTTATAATTCCTAAGTTATACACAAATGCAAGAGATAAGATGCTTTTGTAAGAAATTGATCTGGCTTTGCTAAGATTGCTAATTCAAAGTTTAGGGAGGTGAGTGAAGATTTTGTTTAAATTCTATTGCAATTTGAACGGGTTGTTTTGTTGATCAAAAGGTGGGATTGAATAGTAAACTTAATAGGATTTCTTTAAGAATTGTAATTTGAGTGAATAATGACTTTATGAGAGTTTTAAAAAATTATGTTTGATTTGGGTGGCTTTGGATTTTTTGAAATAAATAAAGAATTATTTTTTAGAAAATTTTGTAAGTTTTGTAATAGATCTATTGACAAAAATTTGTAGGTTTGTCAAAATAGTTGTCTTAAATGTACATTTTAAATATAAATTTAGTTGGATGGTCAAATAAAAGTTTCTTGAAATTCAAGTGTATTAGGGTCTTAAAAATTAGACTTTGAAGGTCAATGGGAGTTTTTATATTTATAAAAAAAATTCTTGTTGAATTGAAATGTTTTTTTGTAAGCTAATACTTCTATTAGTTTCTAACACATATGCAAATTTTTAAAGCAAGTGAATAGTGCAAATAAGAGCTATTGACGTTAGGAGATTAATATCAAGGTTAGAAAATGACATTAAAGATCAAAGTAGATTAAGAACTTTATCTATTAATCAATATATATATATATATATATATATATATAATTTTTTTTTATTATTGATTTAAATTAATAGATAGAAAAGTTTATAGATTTTGAATTAAAAATTAAAAATTAAATAGACTAATGATTATTGAGGTTTTAAATCTACTAAATAGTTAGGTTAAAATTAGATGGATTTGGTTAGGAAAAGATTATAGTTTATTTGAATATTAACAAGATTGTATTAGTTTTTTTAGCATTTATTTAGGATTTAATTAGGATTTAATTATAATTTATTTAAGATATCTTTAGAGTTTGGTTATGATTTTGTAAGATTTACTTAAGATTTGAAAAGGTTCAATAAAAAATTATTTAATATTTCTTTACGTTTTTGTGATTTTTTAAAGATTTTATTATTATTATTATTATTATTGGATTTTATCAGAATTATTAAAATTCGATTAAGATTTGTTTAAAAAATTATTAGAATTGTAAGATTCTTATTTAGGTGCAAAAGACAAGTTTATCTTCTATAACCAAAAGTATGGTGTATTTTCAAACAAGACAACTTATAATACAATATTGTAACTGAAGATTGTTTGTTGATCAACAAGTTAGCACTTATTTAAGATATAAGCACAAATATAAAAGTCTATTTCAATTCTAGTTTAGAACAAAATTCCTAAGAGTTAAAGTTTTTTTTTTTTTGTGGTGTTGATGATATATATTTTTAAACCATAAATTTAGATGAATATTATTTTCTGCACAATCACAAAAGAAATTATTATCTCTTTTTTTTTTTCAATTCACAAACTTTATATTTTAATTCAATTCTTTAGATATAAGAACATTAGGAAAAATTTAGAAAAGCTTTGAAGAGATTGATAAGATTACCTATACTTTAGAAGTAATTGCAATAGATAATGAGTTTGTGACAATCTCTAATCATAAAAATCAAACTATAGGCATTGCTAAAAATTATATTTTGGCTTTGACTAAGACACAAGTTTGACATTATAGGCTTATTTTTCTTTGATTAGTTTTTGATTTTTTCATATTTGACAATAATAACAACAAAATAGGGCATTGAAAAAAAATATAAAAACAAATTTTATTATTAGGCTGAGATCATGGCTATATAATATAAAGATATAATATCATAAATCTTAGTATTGATTTCTTCCTTGATAATGGTGAGATTATTGTTAATAATTGCAGTCTCTGCTATTGTCTTGTATAAAGTCTAGTCCAAAAATACACTAGGCATCTAGTTGTGGAAGAATCTTGATTTATCTTGAAGTTCATCTTATAATCAAAAAGAATATATGAGGTGTTAAAAAACACCCCTCTTAGCAATCAAGACACTATTAAAATCTTTAAGTTAATTAATTTTTATCAATCAATCTATCAATTATTATTTAATGGATGATGTTAGATAATTTTTGGTATAATTTAGAAAAATTATTGATCTTTATATACTTTTTTATCTAATAGCCCCGTTACAACACAACTCTTTTATCTAATAGCCCTGTTACAACACAACACCTTGGCAATTTCCATCTCACCTATAATTTTCGAAATTGTAAGTGTCATCTTAATTCAAAAGGTTGATGATCTGCATATAAGTCTAAACAATAAATGCATAAATAAGTAACTTTTTTTTTATTGTCAAGCCTATATTCATTTGTTTCTTGTAAAATAAATTAATCTTTAAATTTTAAAATGTCATATATTTTTTAATTAAGTATAAAAAAAAGAAAGCTTATAAGTTTATAAACTATGTACAACTTTTATTCCAACAAAAATTATCAAGTAAGTAAGGAATATTATTTGACGAATATAAATTACATAGAATATCTAGGTATATATAAAATTAAAGGTTGGTCTTGGAATTCATTAAAAATAATAATAATAATATAAAATTATATATATATATATATAAGATTCATTTGCAGGTTGATGATTATTTTTTAGCATTATCTATGTAGATATTAGTTTAATTAGTGGTCCTTGTAATGAAATCAATTTTGGTCATTTAATCATTTATTTGAAATGATTAATTAAAATTTGAGGTTCAAATAAACATATCAAATATTATATTAATTTCAGATTTCATGTACTTGTTCTTATTTTTTTTTAAACTAAAGATTCTAATTAAATAATGTGTTTCTATTGCAATGTTGCTAGATAAATCCATGTTGTTACTAAGTTTTAAAAAATTAAATAATTTTATTACAATATACAAGAACTTTTGATTTAAGTGAGTTTTTTTTAAGAAAAAACTTTTTGCTTCTTGTAAAATAATTAAATGCCAAAATCCAATTAAAAACTAAAAACTAATAAAATATTGTAGATAGTGAATTCTATATCGAAATGCATTAAAAAAAAATTTAAAATAAATAAATAAATATATATATATATATATATGTATAAAATAATATTGTATTAAAATTAAAAATTCATGTAGTTTTAAGAAAATAATAAAGCTTGATTCATATGCTTTTATTTTATAATAAGATTTATTAATAAAAATAATTAATCAATTTTTTAAATTTAAAATCAAGAAATGAAAATTTATATGATTTAATTATTTGATAATATAATAATAATAATAATAATAATAATAATAATCATCATAAAAGTTCTATTCATTGTAGCAATGCCAAATAGTTTGTATTAATTTGAACTTGTTACAAATACACACAAATTAGACTCCATGCAATTTAGTAGAGAAGAAATAAAGATGAAAGTGGTTTATTTAAAAATAGATAATTATTGATAGTTATCTATTTTAACAATATATAGAGGTGAAAAAATAATCTAATATTTTTAAAATTAAATCAAATTTCAAAAAATTTATGAAAATATTATCTGGAATGTTTGGCTGTAATTTAATTTTTAAAATTAATGGTTTAAAAAATCTATATGGATGCAAAAAAAAAAATCTTTGTTTAAAAATAATTTCAACAAGATTGCAAAATTTCTTTTAAAACTTGCTACATTAATTTTTTCTAAAAATATTAAATTAAATTTATGTCAACAAGAACTACTGATTTTAAAAATTAAATACATGATTTTTCTAGTTTCAAATGAACCATTTGTTACTAATCATAAATCATATATATTTTTTTTTTGGTGAATAATAAGAGCATTTAAAGAAGACATCCAATAACATTCTTGTTCTCATCTACAATAAATAATGTTAAATACAATTCGTATAAAATATCTAAATTATTTTTTCTAAATATATCTTGGTAATCTCTGTAGTATTTTAATTTTTTAATAAAATATTTATATGGATAAGATTCATGATTTTTATTTTAAAAATTGAAATTATAAAACATGTATTCTTATTTTTAACTTCCAAAATTGCTCTTAATTTTAAAAATAATAATTTACTTCTTTTTATGGTAAAATTATATGTTAGTTTTAAGCCTAGTTTAAATTCTAATTTATATATACTATTTCTTTAATTTGGTTAAATTATTATATTTTAATTAAAGGTTATAAATTAAAGAAAATTGAAGCAAGAGGCTACAATTGCAACTATTGAATTTTAATTTCTAAGATAAAATATTAAAATTTTAAAGGCTTTTAATTGGTCAAAGAATTTCAAAAAGTGAAGATTTAAAGACATAGAATTAAAAGAGTTAGATATCAAAGTTGGAAATTATAATTATTTTAGAAATCTAAGTATGAGAGTACAGATTTTTAGCACTCATAATGGTTTGAGGATAATAAAGTGATTTAATAGAATAAAACAAATGTGCTTAATGTATTATTCATATCTTCTATTATAATTTATTACCAATAATTCTGCTTTGTTTGGATTTTGATTGGTTATAAATGATTGTATGTTTTTTTAGTATGATGTTTTTAGAAT